TTTTGGGTGTGTTTATATGTTTAAATAGTGCTTGGGTTTTTTTATAATTTCAACCCCCATTTTGGGTGTTTTAGTGAAACTCCCTAGAAAAAACCATAATTTGGAGAAGAATAAAGTGAAACTCTTGCGCCATAAGAAATCCTAACTTCTCTTTAAGCCATTGTGCTACAAGTGGGGAACTGGCTTGGATTAAATTTTTTTTTTTTCTTTCTATGCCTTGTTTAATAAAGGACTTCAATATTCCACTTGTATGATATAAGAACTCGAAGAACAAAGTGCTGAAAATGTAATCGTAGTGAAAAAAAAAAATTATGTTAGTTGAGATAGAAATGGGCAAATGGAAGAAAACGAAACAGATACTAGGGAAAAATTTTCCTCAATTCCCTGTTGAAATTAAGCAACCACAGATTTGGCTCTGAAATAATGAGATCGAAGCTAAATCCCAACAGTTTAAAAGATATTTGATATTTGCTTTAGACAGAGCTGTGAGTAGCATTTAATGCTCTTGCCTAATCTAGTTTGCAACCCACGTGAGAATTTTCGGTAAAGCGATAAACCCTTTTCGCAATAAACCTTGTTTCCCTAGTTTCCCTCCTAAAACCCTACCCCTCTCACAAGCATCTTTCCTTCCTTTCAAAACTCCCAAAATTTTTTATATATATATACAAGTGACGTGAACAAATTTTGAGTCGCCACGATAAAACAACTCAAAACAAAACAAAATTTTAATTATTTCTAAACTTTGACAAGTTTAGTAAATATTGAAAAACTTGTAGACACTTAACTTCAAAGTTATAAGGACTAAAAATCCTCATTTTCTTAACTTTAGTTACTTGGTGTCACGTCTTTTGAATGGTATAAAGTAATGATTTAGATTGTATAAATTTGTAGCTTTGTATAAAGATGAAGTTAAGGTTCACAATTTCCTCCTCTATTTGTTCATTGTGCGGGGAGTGTTATTGGGTGTATTTGGCAATTTGGGTTGTGAGGTTGCCAAACACTTTGTAAACATCCCAATTTGTTGATAGTGTACGTGTTTGCACATACGGCTCTAGGGACATACCCCAGTTATAATTATTGTGAGCAACCTTGTTAAATCTTTTTATTTTCTTGTTTTTACATTTATTTTCTGTTATTATCCTCTGGTTAACAGCACCTGCTCCAGTAAAAATTTATCAATTTTGATATGTATTTAAGCAATTATTTCCTTAAGGCTTGGTGCTTGTAGCACAACACATACAAGTATAAATGCATATTACAACCCACTTAGAAATTTGCAAAGGACAATACTAAACATTATTTTATTTGCTTGCATACATATATGCCTTCACATTTGCAGCTTGTTTTATCCTCTACGATCTTTTCTGCAGATAAGTACCAATGGCTGAGACAAAATGAAGGACAACATCTTTTACTTTGTCAAGGAAGTGAAAATAGGCATGTCTCCAAGACCTGTTCATGGCCAAAGTCCCAAAAACTCCCCAGAACCCTGCATAGAAACCTATCACCAGGCTGATGACGAACTGTAGCTTTTCAAGTTTTCTATCATCAACCTCTCCTCCATCTCCACTTGGAACTTGAGGTGCTTCTTCATTGTCTTGGCAACCGATTGGTAACGGACACCTGCTAAGACCGGGGTTGCCCTCATAAATTGACGAGTCAACAAAGGTCTGAAATTGGTTACCCGTTGGAATTTTCCCGGACAAGTTATTGTATGACAGATTCAGATGATTCAAAAATGTTAAACAAACCATGCTCTGTGGAATTGAACCTGAAAGTTTGTTCATTGACAGATCAAGAGTTTCTACCAACCCCAAGTTTCCGATATTTGCTGGGATATTTCCTGTCAAATAATCATGGACAAATTTAAGGTGCCTAACTTTATTAGGCTTGTTATCCCCACAGGCATGTCTCCTGACAAGTTATTGTCTGAGAGATCAATGCTATTAAAAAGGTGTAGGATGGAGCCATATACAAGCACTCTTCCTTTTGACACCACCTCCAATCTTCCCCATTGACCATAAATTTCTGTATCTTCGTCTGTGAATTCAGATGTCAAGCCATTCAAATTTCCTATGCAGTGGGGAATATTTCCGGAAAGATTGTTGTGTGAGAAGTCCAATATATGGAGAGCGGAAAGGCCACATAATTGTAAAGGGATGCTTCCAGTAAATGAGTTGGACCTCAAGCGAAGAATCTTTAAAGAGGGCATGCTTACTCCGATGGATGCCAAAATCGGTCCAGAAAACTTGTTATCACAAGATCAAGAATATTCAGGTAAGTGCAGTTTTTAAAGGAAGGGACTTCACCTGAAAAGTTGTTGCTAGAGAGGATCAAGAACTTGAGTTCAGTAAGAGAGCCTACGGATCTTGGGATTGTACTAGAGAGACTATTGTCTGACATCTCTACAGTATTCAATAATGGAATATTGTTCCAAAAATGAGGAATCTCACCAGACAAGCGGTTATTTGAGAGAAGCATGAATTCTAATTGGCTTAAATTACCAAAGGACAGGGGAATGCTTCCACTCAAAGAGTTCCTAGAAATGTCTAGATATGTCAAATTGGGCATCACTTGACCAATGTTATGAGGAATTGGCCCTGAAAATAGATTATCTATAAGATACAGCCAGGTAATGTTTGAGGACCAGAGTGGGAGTATGCCTTCAAAGAGGTTTGAAGTCAAAACAACAGTGGACGAATAGCTGAATCTTAATGAATTGGGCACCCTACCACTTAGTTTATTATAAGGGACTTCTAGTTTATCTAATTGCAAATCCAACCGCCAAAACCAATCTCTTATGGTGTCTGAAATCCTAGCATTACGGAGTACCACTGTGGTCAACTCAGTCTGATTTCTAAGCCATGTAGGAAATTTGGGACCCAATTGGCAAGATCTAATGTACAAGAATCTTAATTTGAAAGAAGGTATCCAATCAGAACTTATGTTGAAAACCAAGGAAATGTTTGGAGAATTATTTCCAATTGATACTTTTCTCAAGCCTCCAAGTTTCACAAAATAAGCTTCTGTAATGGCACCTTCTCATGTGTTGCCATAGATATCAAGTGAAACCAGTGATGAGAGCTCCCAAAGACTTTCTGGGATGATCCCACTCATTTGATTGTATTCAAGGTAAAACTCCTCCAAAGATGTCAAGTTTCCAATCGATTTTGAAATGAATTATCTGACAAGTGGATGTATCTCAAGCTTTTAAGATATCCGAAAGAATCAGGCAGTTTTCCTGTCAGACTGTTATCTGTCAAATCCAACATCACTAGTTCAGTGAGATTGAACAACCAAGGAGGTATCGTGGAATTAAAGTTGTTGCTAGAAAGATCAAGAACCAAAAGGGATGTGAAATTGATAGAAGGAAGAGTGAGAGGAAGGATGGAAAGTCCACAAAAGGGCAAATGCAATTCAACAAGTGAATGGAGCATATTAACAGTGGGAAGCCAATAGGATGTAGTCTTGGCAAGGTTCACTCCTTCCAAGTTAAGGTACTTTAAGGAAGAAAGAGTTACAAGCCACTGAAGGTCATTCTCAATTGGTTCAAAAGGGTAATTACTAAGATCAAGATAAAGCAACCCTAAAAGGTTTCCAAGATTGAGGGGAATGATTCCACCAAAACATGCACCAGAGAGATTGAGGTATTTTAGTTTCTCTAGTGATCCAATGAAACTTCACTACTACAAAAAGTGAAAAAGACGACCATAAAAAAACGACGGTTTAAGGGAAAACCATCGTTGTGTTTGAAAAGACGACGGTTTTATAAAACCGCCGTGTAAGAATAACTTAAACACCTAAAAAATGGAGATTTCAATGGTTGTTTTTAAAAAACGACACACCTAATTAAAAAATCAACGTCTTATTGAAAAAGGTTTTCCTCAGAGTAAACTCTGAGCCCACAAACAACGGCAAAAGGTATGTAA